TGTGTGCTGTCTCTTATACACATCTAGATGTGTATAGGGGTGAAAAGCAAACAAATGCAAAAGACCGCATCCACAACCCTCTAAAATGGGAACAGTATGATGCTTTTGGCATACTAAGGGCATACTCACTCTAGGACCTTTTATCGCAAAATTGCACATATTTGATGGTTGGGCCGGTCGCACAAGGCATGCAGAGTAGCAAGGATATCAAACAGGGTATCAAATGTCAGCGGCCTGGCGAGCAGCGGGGAGGGGCATTCTGCTAACACCTCCGGAGGGGGTAGCAAATTCTTTTTTTCAGTTTGCCATTTCGTGAAAGGAAATTTCGGCACGTCTATCAGCTGCTCCAAGCCAGAGGCAACACAAAACGAGTTTTTCTCAGACCTTGGGGGGGGGGGGGGGGGGGGGAAAGGTTTTTGGGCCTCGCACCGTGAGACCACGATAGGCACCATTTCCGCAATGGGCAGTAATTCCCGCTTGTGTCCTTTTCGATTTGCTCCCGCTGTGCGGCCGGGCGGGGTAGAGTACTTCACCAAAAGCAGGATTGCAAATTTCGCAGATTTTGCTGCTATGCCACCGCTGTGTGAGTAGGGCCTAACTTAGACAAAGAAACTGTGACTTCCACAGCATTGCCAAATCGGTCACCAGGCCAGGCATCAATAAACTAAAAGCAGCTCTTTTTTATTTAACCAACAAGGGGATCAGAGAGAGAGAGAGAGAGAGGAGTGGGGGAGAGAGGGAGAAGGGATACTTGGTGGAAAGAGCCCATACCAAAACCTTGCTGGTTTTGGGCGCCCAAAGTCTTGCTGGTTGCTTCCGGCCCAAACTTCCTTATAGCTAGAATACAAGGCGCCTTTGCTCCTATTGGCCACAGGCCACACGTCTGTTGTCCTGTTTTTACCGGATTACGAATCTGGCACTGCTTTTGCACCGGATTCATGAACCCGTAAGGCCCTTATTTTTCAATACAGGGTACTTGGGCCTCCTATCTGCTAGTGGTACCCCCCTCGGCCTCTTCTACACCACCATGAATCTGGCGCTGTTTATGTGCCAGATGCATGAACTGGTAGGGCCCATTGGATCGACGCGTGGGCAGGCAGTACCCGCATGGGAAAGTTAGGGCATGTAGTACCAAGAGGCAAGACCTTGGGCACCCAAAGCCAAAAAGGTTTTGGCATGGGCCTTTTCCACCAACTTGAATTATACCCTAATAAGGGAGGGGGGGAGAGACACACATGAGAGAGAGAGAGAGAGAGAGAGAGAGAGAGAGAGAGAGAGATGGGGAGAGAGAAAAGGAGACAGCACCGAATGAGGGAGGAGGCTCCATCATCGGTGGCCCAATTACCAACAGGAGAGGAGGGGGGTTGGCCCATCCCCTGAAGCGCTGTTTGCCATCTGTGCCTTAGGACGGATCATCAGAGGGTTGTAGGACCAAGTGTCCTTTCTCTGGAAGGTGAGGAGGAGAGCAACGAGAGAATCAGATCCGGGGGGAGGGGAAGAAGAAAATGGAAACGCCAACAAAGCCAACAAGCCAACCAATGCATGAAAGAACGAAAACCAACTTAACCAAACTGCAACCAACCACTAGCATCGAACACAAATTAACCAAACCAACCCCAATTCGAATAAGGCTCGCCGAAAAGTTAGGGGACTGGGTACAGGGCCTGCCTAGGGTAGGGCCGAATTTTTTTTTTGTTTTTTGTTCTGGGCTGGGCCTAGTGCCACCCCACGGCAGGGGACCATTTTTTCTTCCTACTGGCCCTTCGGACAACCTGTCCTAGGCCTCCAAAATTTTACGAGATGCTCAGTTGCGATTCTCAACTTGGCTGCGGCCATCTACCGGAAACCAAACCGAACCAAACCAATCCAATCCAATCCAATCCAATCCGATCGAATCCAATCCAATCCAAACCAACCCAATCCAATCCAACCCTAAACCCAAAACCAACCCAAAACCAAACCAAACCAATCCCATCCCATCCAATCCAAACCAATCCAATCCAACCCAATCGAATCCAATCCAATAGTGTCCAATCCAATACAATCCCATCCAATCCAAACCACACCACACCACACCAAACCAAACCAGGTGGTTCCTTTTTTTTTTTTTTTTAACCAGGTGCAAAAGCCAAATAATTCAAAAAGAAGGGAAAAGCAACCAGAAAGCAGCCTGAAATGAAGCAAAACCGAAATTGAAAACATAAGAAAACCAAAAAGCGATACAAAAAACAATATCGAAAAACCATACTGACGCAGCAACCTGAAGGAAAAGCTTACGGGTTCAAAACCAAGGACGACAACAAAAGCGGCCGTAATCAAGCAACAGCTGCAAAACTAAATCAATGCAAGAACCCAAACCATCCAACACAAGCAAACCTGACTGGAACAATCAAACTCAACCCCATTTCCAGCGGGTGACGCTCGCCACCAATAGACTGGAGCAGCCAGAAAGGCTGCTAGGCATCACTGCTCATATCACCCCTCCCAACAGCTAGACTGGGTTGAAAAAGGTATTTGGGGGGGCCGGTTGTGTGTGCGTGCGTGTGTGTGTGTGTGGAAGGGGGGGCGGGGTAAAAAAAGAGAGAAAAAAAAACAAATCCGCCCCGCCAATCTGAGGGCTGCCCTACTGCGTGACTGGGTGCTGCCAGTAGACCTCCTGGCCAGTAGGGCAACCCCCTGAAAGGCTAAGGATAGGGGGGAGGATTACCCCAAAACAGTCCCCGCCTTGCCAGGCGTCTAGGGCCACAAGGGATGGGCCGGCCTTCTGTCTTGTCTGTTCTCCCCCCCCTCCTTTTTTCACATGCAAAACCATGCTTGCCGGTGATGAGCAACCGGACTGAGGCCCCCACAATAAAAGGGTCATTTTGATTTGTAAAAAAAAAAAGTAAAATAAAAAAGAAAAACCATCGAGAGCTGTAAAGCTGCTCCGGACCTCTTCAACATGCTTCCACACGATCACTACAGCAATGAATGAATCACAGAGGAACACGCCTGAAATCAAAAGAAAGTTTAAAAAGAGCAAGCTTACATAACCGACCACCAGGACCAGATACGACTCGACTCCACTCCGCAAATCAGCAATGTCCTCATCCCATCCCATCCCATCCCATCCCCTCCAACGACGTGTCCTGCCTACATATACGCTGAGGTTCCTGCGTGACTGACGACTCTCCCCTTCACTGAAAAAGAGCACCGACCTGTCGTGCATGCCAACCTGTCGACACAAACGAGACTCCAAAGGATTTCACCCGACATTCCCTATATCCCCTCAAGCTCTTCCCGACAAGAAGCAGCCCACCCACGCTAACGAAAAGGGTGAAAAACAAGCGGACAGGACCGCAAAGTGGGAAAAACAAGTGGCGAGGAACGGAAAGGGTGAAAAAAAACAAGGGGGGAGGGAGGAGAGCATAAAAAGAGGAATGGAGAAGAAGGGAGAATTCCAAAAGGATTTCCAATAATAAAACAGGGGCAGCATAAATCCAACCATCCCCAATTTCCAGGGTAGAGTGGAGGACCTGCGCTGCTCACAGAGATTAACGTTGTTGGGAAACCGGAGATATACGCCCCCCCCCTTGATTTCATAACCCCCCCCCCCTAGATTATAAAAGAGATACCCCCCAATGGCCACCTCAGTCTTCTATGTGCATGTGTCAACTCAGTCTTTTTTAAAAGCCTGCCAACAAGCCAACTAGCCCCTGGGACTTATCTTCAACAGATGAAGAAAAAAATACTTCCTTCGGCGCTCGACGTCGTTTAGGAGCGACAACGCCAGGCAGGGATGGCAAGCGAGTGGATGCTCATTCGTCGATCTCCTTGGGGGATTTAAAATTTGGGAAGAAACTGATTTCCATCTGGACCCGTCTGCGAGATCAGCATGCTCGCAGTGCCACACCAACAAGAGTGTCGGCGATCAGCAAACAAAGAGACAGAAAAAAGGAATTAGGAAACAAGAAGACGAAGGCATTCCCGGAGAGAGAAAGCAAAGAGCAAGCCGACAAGAGCAACAACATTTCAACAGGTTACATGAAAGTTCTCGAGGACGTGGATTCCAGAGGGAGAGCGTGGAGAGCGTACTGGTGGCAGACAGATGAAGAGTTTGCGCACTCGAAACACAACAACACGACACAAGCTAGAGAAGCATGGAACGCAAGCTGGCAACCGACAACTATGGCAGATCATCATATGAGCATTGGGATGAGAGCGCATGCACATGCGCGCACTCATTTCGCCTGCGGGAGAGCAGGAGAGCGGTGGCGGCAAAGTGGTGCAGAGAAGCAGTTCCTGCTTTAATACGTCAAGACCAGCCGAGCCCTGCCCTCCCTTGATTGCCGATTGCAGATATCGGTGTGGTAATCCCAGTCACGGTCGATCCAAGCGAGTCGCCCTGCCACAATCAACGATCAACGACCGACGACATTCAGCTTCCACAGAACGGCTAATGACGAGTTCACCGGCTTCTGGGAATGTTTCCCTTTGGAGAACGACATCATACGATAAGAGCCGGGTATTAAGCCCCACATAGCAAATAGGAAAAGAGCCCTTTGGCTTTTTGGCTAAGATCAAGTGTACTTTGTGTTATGAACAGTTTAATATCTGATGCGTGGACCCAAAAAAAAAGCTTTCTTTAGCTTCTTTTTGTTCCTTGTATGTAGAGATTAAAAACAAAAGCCCAAACCATATAGAAAAGCCCAAAATGTAAAGAAAAGCCCTACAGACAGTTAAAAAAAAAAAAAAAACATATAGAAACCTAGGCTACCAGAGTGGCCCGGGGTCACTTGCCCGGCCGGGCCAAAAAAATAAAAATAAAAAAATATATATTTTTAATTTTTAATTTTTATTTTAATTTTGGTGAAGAATTTCGATGTGACCCTGAGGCAAAAGTTGTTCAGTTTATTTTTCTGCATAACATAGTTTTTTTTCGNTTTTTTTTTTTTTTTTTTTTTTTTTGCAGGGACCTCCTTGCACGGGCTGGCCACCGGGGACCCGGGCGGCCCGGCTGGTAGCCTAGATAGAAACCCCCTACAGTCTGGCAACGAACTGTCGAGTATGTGTATGGAGGAGCTCAGACATTTGGCTGTCGATCACCCCTTCAAGGCCAGGTCCCACTGACGCTACGTTTGTGCTATGCTAGTACAAACCTGACGAGTTCTCCCCTCCCCCCCCCTCCCACCCTTTTCCTTTTACTGTTCTCCTCCCTCCTCATTTTTTTTATTTTTTTTCGGGGTGGGGGGAGGGGGGGAGGACCATTTCTCGATTTCTGCATGTCATCCTTGCGCAGGGGCCATGTTTTCCTTCTCTGTATCATTCAAGGCTGAACTTCCGGTCCCACCGGGGGCCCCTTCCCCCACCGGAACCGGTCCGGTAGTACCGGCCGGTGGACCATGTCGGTTCCCCCCCGGTGGCATTTCGCGCAAGTGGATCGCAGGGGGGTTTGATTTTTTTTGGGGCCGGGAGGCCTCCATGCGGGTCGTGGAGCCCTCCCGTCCCCGAAAAAATTAAAACCGGGCCCGGTAGGCCCACCAGAAAGCTCAAAAACTGGCGGCCTATCTGGGCCGTCGATCTCGTGAGATCTGTGGCCCAGATAGGCCGCAGTTTTTGAACATTCGGGCGGGAAACCGCCCGAAGTTCGACTTGCCGAACCGCCGCCAACGATCAGCCCCGCCACCCCGTCTCCAGCCTCCAGTAGCCTCCAGCCTCCAACCCGTCACTTCGACACTTCGTCGAAAGTGAACAAGGTTGCAACTGCGTTGCACCCCTCCCACGTCCGCCCCGGCCTCGGATCACCATCGGCCTGCCCCCTCGTCCACCGTTGAAGGCAAGTGACCCATACTTTCACTTTCTTCTTCTTCTTCTTCTTCTTCTTCTTCTTCTTCTTCTTACTGGCAGAGCCGAAGTTTCCCATGAAAATGTGTGCGCTGGGGTAA